GAGAGAGGGGGGGGGGGGGGGGGGGGGGGGGGAGGAGCCTGTGCTGGGGAGAGCCGGCCTAAAAGCTGTTTCCCCCTAGCACCATCTCTGCGGGGGGCAGGAGAGGCAGAGGCTTCACTACTGCTGCACCTCTCCCTTTAAAATGTACAAGAAGAGAAGGTGGCTCTTGTACATTTCAAAAGGAAGAGGCACAGCTGGATAATGAGCACCCCTCTTATTGACTAATTGAGTAGTCAATGGAAATTCCATCGACTACTCGATTAATCAATCAAAATTTAACATCCCAACTTTGGACTAAATGAAAAACTATCTTGAGTGCCAGAGACCAGGTTGAGCTGGACACCTGGCAAACAACCCTTTTTATTTGTAAGCTGAGAAGGTTTAGATGGAAATTAGACATTACATATACAACCTCACATGGACACATTTTTGCAGTCAATTCTACCCTGACAAATGACTTTAAGGAAGTGATTTAAGTCATATATAATAGTGTTTCTCAACCTTTCTTTTTTATAAAGTACCCCCTTTTAAAAAATATATAAGTAGCCCCAGTACCTACAGTTTTCAGACACACACAATTTTTTTCTACCGTAGCAAAACATTTGTTTAAACAACTTAATCATAGTAGCAGGGAGGGCGATGACATTTTTGGGTGTAAAAAGTACAAAGATAATAAAATGCTGTAAAATTTAACACAAAAATTCAGTTCTCCCCAAATTTCAGTTGACATATCCCCAGACTTCTCTTGAGTACCCCCTAAGGGTACTCATACCACTTGTTGAGAAACACTGATATATAAGATCATGAACTAGTCCAGTTCCAAAAGCATGCTTAGAAATTGTATTTAGCTAATCATAACTCAACAAAATATCCACCAAAATAAATTATTTTGAATCAATCAATATCTGCATCCTCTATCAGTCTTAATCTTGAAAACCTGTATGCATTTAAACTCTATTGTGGGTTTTCCAGTTGTTTCAGAAACGTATGGCTATTTATATGAACATAATAAATTAGTTATTTCCTCTTTCTTCCCATCCTCTCCAGCACTTGTTTCCCTGATTTATTCCAATAACATAATAAACATAGCTATGAATTATTTAAGTAACTGTTCTTAAATTGTTATTGCTGGAGCTTGTTTTACCTTGATCATTCATGCTGTCCATTATAGTCATCAATTTCTTTAGCCTTGCCATTGATTCTTGTTCATTGCCTTTACTCATAAAATCTGTTCCAAAACCAGGGATCATACCCTATAATATAGTACAATAAAAGAGTTAATTGGGTCAGTTTTGTAATTTACAAGATACTATTATGTTTGAGTGACCTGAGAAGAAATAGATAGCTCTATGTATTTTACATATTTTAATTCAGCAAATCTGCACATGTTCAAATGCAGAAATAGCAAAGTTATTCATGTTTACCAGAAGCCATAAAAATATCTGGTAGCACTTCAGACAGCTTCAAAGGGAAACATTCCTTAAAGTTCACAAGAGTTCTCCAGAACTTTTTACAAAAATTAAAAATAAGTGAAGTTTGAACAGAAAAATGTCAGAATAACTAACCAAGATCTGACTGAAAGGTCCCATTTTCATGATGTTTTGGAATTGTTCATACATATCTCTCAATGTAAACTGTCCTGAAGTAAAAACAGAAATGGAAAGTTAGTGAAGATCACACAGTTACATTTTTATTTATACTGATTCTGTCCATTCATTTCTGATTACACTTTATGAAGGGAACTGACATATAGCCAAATAGTATTAGATTTAAAAAGACTTCTTCTGCATATTCATCTATTATTTGGCTGTATCTCACTTTGCACAACACATTTAAGAACCTTAGTTAAGTTGCAATTGTGTGGAGAAAGCATGCAAGTAATGCTATGTTAAAGGAGCAATCCATTTACTTTCATGTTTCAATTGTTCATGAGAAGTCTAGGATTTTTTATCTTAATGATTTTAATTTATATTTCTTTTTCATTACTTAGTTTACCATGACAAGAAAAAAAAAAAAGAATTGTTATGTATTTGAAGGAACAGTACTTTGAGGTACCTTTTTGAGCAATTTGTAGAAAAGGTAATTTCTTTGGGGAGGGGGACAGGAGGAATGGCTTACCGTGTTTCAACTTCTCTATGAGTGCCTCGTTATCATCCAACTTTAACTCATTTACTTTATCAATCAATCCTTCAATATCACCCATACCTGGAAAACAAAGTGTCCTTCAAGATTTGTGAGGAAAATTATGCTCCACTTTTTTTCTGAGACAGCAACATTTGAGAACATGTGAGTACAGTCTGTAGTTATAAATAGTACATACCAAGGAGTTTGCTGATAAAAGGTTGTGTTTTGAATGGCTCAAAGTCATCTATGTGCTCTCCAGTACCAATAAAAATAATAGGACTTTTTGTGGCAGCAACTCTGCAATAAAATAATAAAAATGTATCTTTAAACAAACAAATGAACAAACAAACCCCAATATATTCCAAATTTAGCTCCCCTATATTAAAATAAAATCAATGTAATGAACACTAGTCAGATTTTACTTTCCACAGTATTCTAGTAGCTCCTCAAGCAACCAATGAAAAAAGATTCAGGAGTGGACTTGAAACAGCCACTTACCAGTCGCAATTAGAAACCAGCCCAGAGATTTAGCCATCATTTTAAGCTTTAGTATTTTGTATAAATTAAGCTTTTATTCCTTATTACAAGTAACCTTCAAAATATGAACTTTGAATAGATGTATTGTCTTCTTGAATCTTCAGACACAATATTTGTACTACTAACAGCTTTAATAAGCAATACTAATGGAAAATTAAAATGGCCATTTTCACTGTTGACATTCAGAACTTTGTGGACACCTAAAACTTTACCATGTCCATTTCCTCCTGCTGCTGGGAAGCCAAGAGAGGCAAGTACTGAAATTATTCACGGAGGAACAATCAAAAGAATGGAGACCTCTTTCCTTCTATATCGTAAAGCAGACAGGAACGCTTCCAAATGAGGAGACAGATTAAGTTTACACCTCTCTCCCCCTTCTGGAATGGAGAAACTTTAAGGTTGTCAGACCCCTACTAGCAAAAGATGCTAAAGGCAAAACTCTAGAGCAGAGACCACACTTAGTTAGATGTTCTAGCATTCTGAATTCCCAGCATCTGGTGAGAGAGGATATAAAGAAAAGGCACCTCATCACTTTAGCATGGCTCAGGACCTCAGCTCTCACCTTCAGTGTCTATTTCTGGATAAAACAAAAGACAGGCCCATTCGTAAAGTGTCAAATTTAAGCATGAGTGACAGTTCTGAGGTTTCCCTTTGTAGTCTGGTGTTAAAGTCTCTTTGAAGAAGGATATATATAGTTAGGTCATTGAGACAATGCCCAGTCTGGTTGAAATGACAAGAAACTGTTTTTTCTTTGTGAAATTGTATGATGTCTGATTTGTGTGCACTGATTCTTTGTTGAAGTGGCGGTACATAGCAGATGGACACTTTAGGCACAGGATGGCATAAATTATATTTCTGGATGAACAAGAATATGTGTTCTTGATCTTGTAACGGATGTGGTTAGGTCCAATGATGGTGTCAGCAGAGTAAATATGTGGAGAAAGCTGGCAATGGGTTTTGTTGCAAGGGTTTGTTCTAAAATCTGATCTGTCAATTTTATGTGTGTTCACTTTTTTTGATTGTATCCCTTTGGTATATATGGTCATGCCAATTTTCTTTCACAATTTGATCTGAGGAAGTGGGTCTGGCCCACAAAAGCTCATCACCCAATAAACCATCCTGTTAGTCTTTAAAGTGCTGCATAGTCCTGTCTTTTGTTTCAGCAAGACCAAACTAACACTGCTACATCTCTATGACTATTTCTGGATAGTGTGCTTAGTCTCCTGACAACATTTATTTTTACTTACAGAACAGAATATTTATAGGTGTTTAAGAGCTTACAATTCCATTCAGACACTAACTTAATAAGCTAGTAACAGAACAAACAGACCACACTGTTATGTCAATATTCTCCATTGTTTCTATAACCAACTTCATTTCTAAACATTATTTCCCCCTGTGTATTTCCCTATTTGCCTGGATAAATACATATTTTAGATATGTATTTAGATATATTTTTGACATGTTTTAGTACCTTTAGATTTGGCTTTGGTTTCAGGATGCTGTGCTGCATGGCTTAGAAACATGGAATCAAAGAAAATGTGACTGAGGAATCTGTAAGTGTGTTATTTTGGGGATTTTTAAATCAGGGATTTGACTTGCATTCTATTGATGTTATTGCCTCGCCACATCTGAAATTTCAGTTTCTTTTTTTGGCATGTCAACTTAGCCTTTTAATGGGAAGCAAACTTTTCACCTCACCCAAGTCTATAATGGCATGTATCTACTAAATTTGTAAGGGTATAAAGACAAACTCCCAGTAACTTAGCAACCCTCTCACATGGACAGAAAGACAAGTGATATTATCCTGAGAAAACAAACTGATGCTTACAGAAAGCTGAGTAATATAAAATATAGATTAGATAGATAGATAGATAAGAATTCCACATAGCAACTTTTAGGATTGTGTTAAGTGCCCATAACTCCTCATGAATTCAAGGTCAGATCCTAAGTTATTTGCATCAAGACAAGTGTTATTGTAAGAATCAGCACACCGAATTGCTTCCCTTCAAAAGAAATTCAACAACTCTGACTGTTTAAACATCACACAATTCTATAAATACTGAAACCCCACTACTGCACAATACTTACGCACTGAGAGCGCCACCTCCTTTTGCATGGCCATCAAGTTTTGTCACAATAACAGAGGCTACATCGACTTTATCTTTGAAAGCTTTTGCCTGAGCTTCACAAGCTTGACCAATGGAGGCATCCATCACATAAACAATGTTATCTGGTTGCTGGAAAAATTGATCTGAGTTATTTCTGGTTATTAACTCGATATCTATGTATCATGTTCTGTAGTAGAATTAATTTACATACCATTTCTTTAAAAAAAATGAAGTGTACAAATCTAGAAGGTATTTAAAGAATGGATCAAGACTGAACAATTATTGAGAGAAAAAACACAAAACAGAAACCTGAAATTCATTTTTATACTTAATTCCCCACAAAAAATTCAGGGAAAACTACTTATATTTAATTTCCAAAGATGATCTACTAGCTATAATAATGCCTCTTCCCTCCACAAGTCATGATACTCTATTTAATATAGACAATTAAAATATATTTGTAAACATATTTTTTTACGTTGAACAACATTGAGCCAATATTTGACCATGTTCTCCTCCTACTACTTTCCTATTATTAGGTTTATTAATAAAAGATGCCAAAGAATAAATATCTTTCTTTTGTTCCTAAACTTGGTGACCAAGCTGAGGTTGTCAGCTTTATTACTCTGTAAAAACTGTTCTTTAACCCTATGTGAGAGTGTAGTCATCAAGTTAATCCGTTCATTGAAACGACTGAGGATTACTTCATCTATATAAAGTAGCCCAGACATGCGAAAACATGGTATATGAAACCCTCACACATTTATTTGGATTTCTGTAATTATGTAAATTCACATCAGACCCTTTTTTGATCTCTTAATGCAAAGATCCCCCAAAACTGATCTTATTGTTAGAAGTGATGTTAGTCTTCACATATGCAAACCACCTTTAATTCAAAGACTAATCATATACATGAGCAGAATAACAGTTTAAAACTAAGTATTTTTACTGAACTATCACTACAGGTTTGACCTCCCTAGTCCAGCACTTTCCGGATCTGACAGGTCCAACACAAGGGAGTTTACTAAACCAGAGCATGTCTGAGACGGGGGATGCCAGCCTCCTGGCCCCTCCAGAGCATCCCGGATGTTGCCAGACCACAGTGTCCCAGACCAGAGGTTCAACCTGTACTTGAAGGCTAATAACATTTCAGATTTCATTTATTCTCGCTGTTACATTGCTTCAGAACTGTCACCACATTTCAGGAACCCCTGAGATGTAAATTAAAACTCTGACATTTTATAGTGGACAGCATATATGCAAACCATATATGGTAGACAGCAACATGTTGGTTTCAAATGACAATAAAAACAAAAGCAAAACAAGATCAATCATTAAACTTCCAGTAATTACTCACTATGGCATTGGCAACTTGTAACATTTCTTCAAACAACGAGTCTTCCTGTTTGTGACGCCCACTTGTATCAACAATGATTATCTCAAAGTTTTCATTCTTAAATTTCTCAACACCTTCTGAAGCAATAATCACAGGATCCATTTCTGTGTAACTGTTGAAAAAAAGGTAAAGATATATAAATTATGTGGAAAAAACAACAACTTTGGGATGAGGGTAAATGGAGACCGATCTATTTTTAGGAAATTAACTTTTTGTTAATTCATATTTATACAATCAAATAACTAAAAATGTATATATTTGGGATGGATTTGAAGTTATCTATTTATTTATATCATAATGTTTAAAGATTTGATATCCAACCTGTTTCCTTTGACATCTATTGCACTGAAAACAACAATTTCTGTACCTTATTTCAGCTCAACTGATATAGACCTGGACCAAGTTCAACCCTATATTCTTCCATCACTGTACATACAGTAGCAAGTTAGGAAAGTTCTGAGAATCCACTCAACGTACAATTCGGAAAAGTGATCCACGTTTTTCCTTTATAGAACTGCCTTCTTATTGTGACCCTCCTATCACTGTTAATATTTGGGGGATAGAGATTAAATGCTTACTACAATTTCTGAAGATCAAAAAAATGAGATGTACATATTTTCCTGAAGGTCTAAATGCATCAACAGCCTAATCATTTATAATGGCTCTGTTCTTATTAAAATCTGTGACAGCTCACTGATCCCAATGTATCTTTTCCAAATATGTAACATTAGAATGAGTTGAACTGTTTCCAAAACCAAAAGGTTCATACCTCCCATAAAATGGAATTCTTGCTTTTGTTGCATTCTGTTTTAGCTGGTCAAAAGCACCTGTGAAAAGGAGATAGACATTTTCAGAGGTCCACTGACAAAGTACTATAAAAATAGAATAAACCTATTTAATGTTACTCATAATACCTGCTCTGTATGTATCTGCACATATTAAACATGTCTTCCAACCTTTCCTCTGGTAATAGTAGGCTAACTGTTAAAAGGAAATACAAAATGTGAACACAGTACAAATTATGTTAGTGATTTATATGATAAAAAGCCTTTATCCTTAAAAATAAAGTCATAAATATATAAAACAGCTAAGTCAGTCATGGAAGTCCTATATGGATGTATTGGTCTTTCCTAAATGACAGTCAAGACAGTTTTCCTAGACCATGTTGCCTACAACCAAAGACCTTTGATCACATACCAACAGTAAATAATTAAGGCATTATCAGAAAGCAAAACTTTTCTACCATTTGACTCATTAGTATCTAGATCATGGTGGATTGGCTTTGCTGTATCATGCACTAAGCAGGTTTGGAATGGGACAAGGAATTTTTATATCCTGAGCTAGTGATGGCCAAGCAAGAAGTAGACGTGTGTGGAGAATGGAAAGGTGAAAAACTACTGTGATATTTGCCAACTTTTGTTCTTGCAGACTCTGAACCTTTCGACTGATAACAGAAGAGCTTTTGAAACGAGTTCAGTTTCTTTAAATAACTGCCTTTGTGAAATGAAAGCCAACATTGTATACATCCCTCCCATTCTACCACATTAACTTTCAGAGGGGATAGCATTTTTCATAAATCCATTTTCAGAGAAATAGATCTCCTCCATTCTATAAACACTAATAAAAGATGGAACAATATGACATTTATTTGTAAACACTGACACTAAACTGCAACAGTGCAAAGCAAATGTCGGAGAATATTAGAGTGGCTCAATGAGAAGATACTTCCACTATACAGTCCCTTTCCCAGAACACAAATTACCTAACCAGATGAGACCAGTGATCTATCTAGTCTAGAACCCCATCTCCAACAGTGGTGAGGACCCCGATGATTCAGAAGGTGGTGCAAGAACCACAACTCAAAATAATTATGGAAAAATTTGCCCATAGGTTGGGAGGGGAGGAATTTCTTCTCAAATCTCATCAGCTGTTGTCTGGCTTAAGGTTTCATTTCTCATGATCTCTCTTCTCTAATATAACTGAATGGTCTCATCCATATTAGTGTTTTACTTTGCTTTTAAATTATACTTTGTATAGAAAATGTCTTATGAAGAGATTGTATTTCTGCCCTAGTAAGTCTTGTGTGTAAGACACACACACACACAGGGTTGTATTATAATCAGTAAGCTGCATTAATAAACATGAAAATATACAAGCCAACAGAAACACTGAATGAAAAACTGTGTTTCAAACAGTAGAGAAAATAGTAAAAAATAAACTAAGTGTTCTCAAAGGATTTGGTATAGCTTACCTTTGAACACGTTGTTGTTTTACCACTTCCCTGCAGACCAACAAACATTATAATGTTTTGTTTTCCTTTAGTTGGTGTCCAGGCTTTGACTCCAGGATCTACAAGCTGTTTGAGAAAAGTATAATAAGTGAAAGAAAGTTAAACCTCAGAAGTTGGGAATTGTTAAGAGAAGTCACAGTTGGACATACTATGTTCCTACCTTCACCAAGTTCCTAGGTAGAGAGGTGGCTTAACTTACATAAACAACTGTGTCTCTGAACTTGGTCTTTTTAAAAGGCCAGCTGATCAAACCTTGCTATTAATTTCACATTGCATAGGTCTAACTCAAGATAGATTTTGTTAGCCTGTAAGCACATACACACAACATCTCTTTGAGTTCAGATTTTAATTTGTTTGGTTTATTTTACTTAATTAAAAAAATAAAACATTTAAACAAACTTAATTCTGATTTTTATTATGGACTAAAGAAAGGCTAGACAAGACTAATTTGGCTTTGTAACACAATAAATAAATAAAAGGAACATTTTATTCAGGGCTGACAGTAGAATCCCGTCTCTTGAACAATCCCTACCTGCCCATGTTAAGTAGGAATCTTACCACAGTCAACTTGTGCAGAATTTAAGTTTTTTTTTTAATAAAAGCTATGTTTCTAGCTCTTATGGTAACAATTTCTGTCTTTTAAGACAGAACAAAATAAACTGATATATATAGAGCCCTACAAATCCACAAATATCCACAGCTCATTTTGGTGAATATGGATACTGAGCTGGACACAAGTTTTGTATCTAGAACCCTGCAAGTTTGGAGATATTCTCTTTATATCTGAGGGTGTCCACACCTGCAAATGTCAATTCAGATATCTGCTGCTCATTTTTGTGGATACAAGTGTGCATACAGCTACAAATTTTGTATCTGCACAGGGCTCTACTAATGAAGCACTATCTTCCTGAGTTTGCAGACATTCACAGCTTTGCTAAATATGCAGCAAAGTGAAAACAAGGAACAAGCATGAATTTTCACAGCTTCTACCTCAAAGCCCTATACGGAGGTGTGAAATTGAAAACAATCTGGCTAATTTAACTCCAATGCTTCTTCTGAGAAAAGATGAGTAATTATTCAGGCATTGAAGTTAGAGGGCAACACAAATGGAGACAAAAAGGGTACAATTATTAGAGATACTTAATATTCTTGCAGCAACCAAAAGGTTGTGGGAGATACATACAGGAAGAAAAGAGGAAGAACACTCCTTACCCAGCCTGCCACTGTGGGAAGGATTTATATACAGGTTGGACCTTCCTGGTCCACCGCTCTTGGGACCTGAGCTGTCCCGAACCAGGGAGTTTGCCAGACCAGGAAGGTCAATGCTCCTCAGATGACTACTCAGCTGGGCTCCTCTTCCTGGGGCTCCCTACCTATTGCTGGCCCCACAAACACTGGTCTGGCAGAGGCTCTCCACCTTGCTGCCTGCTAGCTGCTGCCACGGTCCCTGGCCGGGACCACCTTGCTGTTGCCAGCCCCGCTACTATAGGGGGTTTTCCGGTTCCTTACCTGGGACAAGGACTCCTTGGCCACCATCTGCCCCAGCTGATACAAAGTGATACCTAGCCACGGTGGGGGCTCCCCAACTGATGCCATGATTCCCTTGCGGGGACACCCCAACAACCACCTGGCCCAGGTAGGGCTCCCCAGCTCCCACATTCTCCCGGCTAGCTCCTGTTCCCGCCTCCGAGACACTTTGGTCCAGTAACATCCATTGCCACACCAGACCACCATGTCCTGGATTTTGGAGGTTCAATCTCTATCTCACATTTATTAGATGTTTTCTTGATGGAACACAGGCCCAGCCCTCTGCTCCTCAAACAGCCAAAACAATAAGGGAGAAATGCTAGCACACTTTTCTTTCCCAGAGCTGGGGTATGTTGGTTTCTGACCAATGTGTTTCCTCACAAATAATACCTCTATCCCAGGCTTTCTAATCCCTTTTTCTAGCAGCTTTAGCATTCAGGCTTCTAAGAGTTGGGTAAAAATGTCAAACTCTACAAACAAGTGGACAGATGAAGGGAGAGTGCACAAATGAGAACAAGTAACATGCTGAGAGAATAAGCAGGAAAGATTGGTGGGACAATTTAGAAAGGGTGACAAAAACTGGGAGGGGAGAAAGAAACACTTATATCAACTCAAGAATAAGATATAAAATGATCTGGTGAGGAGAAAAAGAAAGGAGTGGAGTGAAACCACAAAGCAAGAAAGTGTGCAAGGCGACGTTAACGCTATAAAATTAGATTGGTATAACTACGTTGCTTCATGGGTATGAAAAATCCACACCCCTGAACAATACAGTTATGCCAACCTAATCCCCATTTACACAACACTATGTCAACAGGACTTCCCCAACTGACATAATCCATCTCAGTGAGAAGACCTCCTGTTGGCATAGTAGTGTCTTCATTGAAGTAGTACAGCAGTTCTGCTGTAGCACTTTAAGGGTGTGTCTAAACTACATGGCTCCATCGACGGAGCTATGTAGATTAGGCTGATCAGCAGAGGGAAATGAAGCCGCAATTTAAATAATCGCAGCTTCATTTAATTTTAAATGGCTTCTGCGCTGAGCCAACAAACAGCTAATCAGCTGTTTGTTGGCTCAGCGCGCTAGTCTGGACGCTCCCGCACCGACCTGAAAGCCCTTTATCGACCTCCCCATTATGCTTTGTAGAATGAGGTTTACCGGGGAGGTCGATAAAGGGCTTTCATGTTGGCAGGGGAGTGTCCAGACTGCCCCGATCTGCCGACAAACAGCTGATCGGCAGAGCGGGGCAGCCATTTAAATTTAAATGAAGCTGCGATTATTTAAATCGAGGCTTCATTTCCCTTTGCCGAACAAACAAATCTACGTGGCTCCGTCGACGGAGCCATGTAGTCTAGACATACCCTTAGTATAGACATTGCCCTAAGAAAAGCAAGAGAGATATAGTTGGTTACTTAATTTTAGTAATGTAGACACACTAACATACTGTCAAATGTAAGAACAAAAATTCACAACTGCTTTAGTCCTTTAAATTGGGGAGGGATATGGCAGAATAGCTCTTTTCTACATGCTAAGAAGTTTATTTCTCAGCCTTGTAGAGGTTAGACAATTTTTTCAAGATCCAGTTACAGAAAGAATGGACCTGTGAGCACTAGAGTTTGAAAGAACTCCAATTACCCAATTCAACATTCTTTCAAAATTCAACAAAGAATTTTATACAGAAATTTTCCTAAACTCTCTAAAGATTTTTTCCCCCTTTTTTGGGTCACAATTTAGAAAATATTATCGTATTGTTACTGAAAATAAAGTGTTAAATATCTTTAAATTTCATGTATTGGCACAGGTTAATGACATGTTTCCAAAAAGGAACAATGTTTACCAATACCCATCTATTTTAATATTAACAATTAGCTCGTACGTAGCAACTGCCATATGTTTGTACACTATGTTCATATACTGACTAATTTGGACTGGAGAGTTATTTAAACAATACATAGAGAAACAATGCAACATAAATATGCAAATCTCATACAGTTTTACCTTGACGAGTTCTTTAAAGACAGCATGCTGAATCATTTTCCTTTTGTTAAGGCCAGATGCCATCTCTTCAAGATCAATAGCAGACCTAAGATTTAAAAAGTTATTAAAAATCCAAACAAGACAAAGAACATTAGTGTGTTTTAAGCAAGTCTTGGATTATACGAACAGAAATAAATGCTTTACATTCTTTAAGTGACTTGAACATTAAGAGATTTGGGCTGCTTTCACGTTTAAATAGATTACGAGCTTTCCAGTATACTTGAATATTTTTGCATGGATAAACAAGTACACTAAAAGTTAAACATAAGTTAACAGTACTGTGATATGTATACAGAGCTCTTTCTCTATATCAAACACAGAATGGAACAGGCAAACCTTAGAAGCATTGGTATTGCTACTGTTAAAGGTATGATGTAGGGATGTAAAATCCTAGTTAATCGGTTAACCAATTAAATATAAACGTAAGAGCTAGAAAATTGAATTTATTTTGATTGTGTAACTTACTTGACATTTTCTCTCAGCTGTTTCACTAACTTAATGTTTACGTCAGCTTCTAGTAGTGCAGTACATACTTCTTTTAGCATAGCATTTAAAACCTTTAGAAGGATTAAAAAAGGGCACTTAATCATTTACAATTGTGCATAAATCAAGTTTGTTAATTAGTGTATCATGAAAACAATAGCACTTTTTAGTGCTGAGTAAACAATGTGATTAATCTTTAATGCAATCCATTAATCTGATGTAAAGCACAGACAGAGTGATAGTCCTTGAAGTAGAAGTTGATGGTTTCAGATGGCACAGACAGAGTGATAGTCCTTGAAGTTGATGGTTTCAGATATGTCATACTGGATAATGTTGATTTATAAATTAAACATTTGATTCAACTTTGTAAACACAGGAATAAGACAAAAATATTATAAAAGAATGGTAGAATTACAAACACTAGAATTACAAACTGACCAGTCAATCACATGGGTTATAAGGAACTAGTAAAAAGACAAATTGGGGGGAAAAGGGCGCGCAATACATATAATAATGTGTTAAACACAGTCTACTAAAAAAATTAGGGGAAATTTTTAAAAAAGGATTTGCCAGAGTAAGGAAACTGTTTCTGTGCTTGTTTCATTTAAAAATCAGATGGTTAAAAGCAGCTTTTGTTTTCCTTCCATAGTGAAGTGTCAAAGCTTTAAGTCAACCTTCATTTGTAAATTTTTGAAGGAACAACTGTAACATTTTGTTCAGTTACAGACAACCTTGATTCCTGAGGTGTCTGTAACCCTGAGATTGTACTGTAGTTCTATCAAAAGTTGTTCAGATACAGAAAGCACAGTTAATCAGTTTCTCATATTACTTTAGTAGAAGACTTTCTACTATATTAAAGGAATGCATTCTTTCCCTTTCACCAGGTAAATTACTATAACAACAACAAAAAGAAAATCAACCACGTGAAAAGGTAAATTCAAGTCAATTAAAAGATTTCAGTAAAAAAATGAAAATAGTTATGACAAACAAATAAAATTCAGTCACCGACAAAAATGAACAAGAACAAACATCAGCCCGTTTCCTCTTAGGAAAAGACAGTTTGCTCTTCTGCACATGCCTTGTAAACTTAGTTAAAATTAAATAATTGGGGCATGGTCAAGATGACACATTAGTTTGGCCACATGACTTTGGGTTGATTATATTCCAGTGATTTTTAAGCAAGATCAATCTACTCCATCATGGTGATATTTTGCATTCTGTGTGACTATAGCTCTATTATATACATAAATATTACAATACCTCTTCATTGATAATTGTAGCATTGCTCAGCGAGCGTAATGCTGACGTTATTTTTCTTCCAAGGTCTGCTAACACCATTTTGGCGACTTCAGAAAAATCTCATACAACAATCTGTAAAGCATTAAGAAAAGGAATTAATTTTAGGAAATATACTGTTAGAGAAAAAGTAAATATGTCTCAGTGAACTATTTAAATACATGCACAGGGCAGCATTTTGGAAATGTTTAATTCTGCTAGTATGTTTCAGTGCAGATCTCCAGATACAACACTATTGTTAAGAAAATGTAATAATCAGCAATGTGTTATTCGATAATGAAATCGAACGGAATAACCTGAAAGTCCTGTGGCCTCCAGGGTAATTGCAAGCAATGGCAGAATCAGTGCATGTTTGCCCATGCAACTGAAGAGTATTAAGCAAGTTCATTTACTTCCACACCATGCCACATCAAACCAGATTGCTAATTTCAATAACTCTACATGCATACTAAGATTAATTTCACATTTTAAAATTAATAATGTTTAGAATGAGTTCAAGGGTAATTTATTTTTAATTAGTTTTTATAGAAATGAGCAATGAATCAAATATTTTTGAAAACTAAAGCTTTCTATAGACAAGCTAAATTCTGCCTCAATTCAATTAAAAATATTGATTAAATGTTCTGTAATTGTATTCCTTGAAAGGCAATTTATAAAATTATTAGACGTTTTACCCAGCATTGCTTGGGTCCTACAGAGCAGGAAGCTGGGGGGATGCAGGAGTCAGGGCAGGGACTTGGGCATGTGGGGGGCTGGGAGCAAGGGACTGGAGGTATGGGGCAATGCAGGAATCAGGACAGGGTGTTGGGAGGGCGTTCAGGGCAGGGGGCGCCCATTGGTTTCTCTCCAGTGCTGGCCTATGCTATGCTACCAGAAGCTTCCCAGGGCTGGGGCATTTGCTACCCTTGTGAGGTCATACAAGTGTATAATTGTCACTAGCTACCCCAGTGGTCATTTGTGAGCATAACTATCCCTGCTATCAAACCCTCTCTTTCCATTTGATGAGAAATTATTCCGTTCCATGCACATCCCATTGTCCTGGCACAACCAAACCCTATAAAGTGACAATAAGAGGAAGCTGCATACCAAATTTGGTGGTCCTAGCTCTTACCGCTTAAGAGGAGTACTTGAAGCAACAGACTCATGGCTGGATGGGCAGATAGATGCACAAATTCTCTCAAATATATAGTAGATAGGAGCTATAATTCTGACTATTCCGGTAATATTCTTATTTCAAGGAGTAGAATAATAGTCTCAAACAAATCCAAATTTCAAGTTTATTTACCTAACCACCGATGTATCACTTTACACTGGGACACTGCCACACATCCTTAACTATTGAAATTTGTTTTCTCCTATATAGTATTTCACTCTCCCTCTGGATTAGAGGGTCGTGCCTTGAGACAAGTGAAAGTGAATTCACGTGGTCCCTCTTTTTGGATTTTGTAAAGAGAAAGAAACTTCCTACACAAACAGTGACTATGGTCTGAATGTTACTTCAGGCAGATAGATTATTTTTAAACACATGAACTATTTTTATAAGATATGATCCTTCCCCAATAGATGGGTTCAAATTTTACTGTTCTATGCCTTTTTACTTTCTAGATTTTTTTACAACCTACATATTGGTTAACCGATTACAGGCCAGGGTTGCTGGGGAGGTTGCTCCAACCTGGCTGGAGCAGCCTCTGCTTGCACCCCCCGCCCCAATGCAGGCAGAGAGCACACCAGCGTCACAGCCAGAGCAGCCCCTGCCTACAGGACAACTGGGTCCACCATGGACAAATGCTGCTCCATCTGGAACACCATAGCAGTCCCTGCCTGCGGTGTCCCTCCAGTGGAACATGGGCAATCCCCTGCCCACCTCCCCCACTGGTTAAACATTAATTACACAAATTTCCAGACAACTTCTCCCCACAAGTGTGTATCTCCATATTAGTGACAGTTCAAAAGAAAAAAAAGAGTATGTCATAATCTTATACAAAACACTTACATGCTTGTGTGTTTCTGTGATTCTTATAAAGGATTCTTGTTGGCATATTGTAAAATATTTAAAATCATATTAAAAAACCTGTATACGTAATTAAGCCTACTATTGTTTTAGGGACATCACAACCCACTGTAGCTTCACTGGAATAATATTCAAGCTTCTGTTTTAGCAAAAATTCACACAAGTGCTGGGGCTTTAATATCCCTATAACTACAGTATTCAATATTCACTACTATTCTAAAAAAGCTCATCTGAACTGTCTAGTACTCTCATCTTCAGAAAATATATATTTATATACACTTAATGCATACCTTTTCTGATTTGCTTCCATTCTTACATGTTAGATAATCAATAAGGGTACATCTACTTTACAGAGAACGAGTGAAGCAGCTGCTGTCGATCTTCCAGGGTCTAAATTAATGGTCTTAACTAGACCTCAAATTCAAAGTGAGAGGGGGACTCCGGTCAATGCCAGTGACTTGCTTTCCCGAGGAGTAAGGGAAGTCGAAGGAAGAGTGTTCTTCCTTTGACTTCCTGCAGTATAGACAGCACCAAAAGCTGAGTAAAGCTACTTTGACTTCAGCTATGCAATTAATGTAGTTGAAGTTGTATATCTGAACTCAACTTTGTCCCATAGTGTAAACATACTCTAAGTGTAAGAACAGACCTTTACTAACTAGAAACTGCAACTAAAAGCTATAGAAAGCTACTGTTATACCACTCTTAAGATTATTACCCTCTTACATTAACAGCTTAAGCTTCATTTTCTATACATTTTTAAGAAAATGTAAAATATATGATCACATGAATGATCAAGTTAGTGATGTTTTATTAAGAAAATTATAGAAAGGGCTCCTTCTAATTGTATTCAGTTTACTAACTATATTGTAAGCATCAAGAAAAACAAAAATTCAAGTTATATTTTTCTTGTCTTGGAGGACAAATAGACCTGAGCATATATAACTTTGTAACTTAAAAAAAACAAAAACTAAACAAAACACAAAAAAGTCAGTTGTGAGATCAAGTCTACTGGTTAGTTAGAGGAAATCATTCAAAGGTATCTGAGCAGCGGTACTGAGTCAACAAGTTAGAAAGTGAGAATACCCATTTAAGCTAAACTTTTCAGCTTCAGAAGGCAATAAGAAACATGGAAAAACACAAAGCTTTACACAATGCAAGATAAACATCTTTAGCATAAATATTGCCATTAACTGTAGCTTCACAATTCAACCTTTTTAAAAATTGGAAAAAAGAGTATAAGAAAGCAAATTTGATTTTTAGATGAGATACATTAACATGATGACATCTTGATACTTGCATGGCATGATCAGCTTTCTTCTAAGACTATTTACAGACAATTTTACTGGTCTAGAACAATCTGAATTTCTCATTTCCTAAGGACATTTTCATGAAAACTGTTATTTTGGAGTTTGTTACTGCTGTTCATTTTAGCAATGTTAAGAAGTGTGTAATTTCCTAATACACGATTAATTGATAAGGGTTAGCACTGCAAGAAGTAAGTCCAGATGTGTCAGGTCTGGCAACTACCCCCACTGTGGCTCTGCATTAAAAGTAATTTAGGAGTGGGCAGGCAGCCTGTCTCAGTCCCAGCTTGCACTGGGTCTCAGGAGCTACCCCCTCTGCAGCTCTGCATGGAAAGCATTATTGCAGAGCCACAGCGGAGGTAGCTCCCAGGACCCCGTGGGAACCGGGACTGAACGAGGCTGCTGGCCAGTCCTCTAAAAAATTTACTGGAGAGCCGCAGACTGAGGGGTGGGGTATGATGCATGTAGTCAATAGCATTAGCAGATAAGCTTTTACTTATGGGTTAATTGTTTAACCAACTACGCTATTACATCCCTAGTTCATTTCTCATCTGAAGTCCTAGAGTCCTCTTCAGAGCATTCCAACCAACTAGCAATGATGTCACAACTAGATTTGAGTTATGGCAAGGAAGAAGAGGATATGAGCAAGCTCAAACTTTAAAGGACAAACTGTTCCAGTGAAATATAGCAAGTAAGAGATCCATATTCAAATACAGATCTTGGTCAGTGAGCCAACAACACTAGGAAACACCAGAATTAGATGGTAAATCTTGCCTTACACACATTTCTCATATCTTGCCAAGAAGAAATCTCTAGATAGGAAAAATATTGTGAAAAAAGCCACATGAACGTGAATGATGTTACATGAAGATAAGAAAACAGTTTTGACCAGTACACATCCATCCTTCTGATTTTGACTGTGCAAGGTAGATTTCACTGATTTTCCTTGTCCAACCTCTTTGAAATCCACAACATAAATTATAAAGATCTATTTTTAAGGTTACATTTGAATAGCTTACTTTTATTAGCAATCAAAGCCTCAGTCCTACAAACATTTACACAAGTGCTTTACTTTATATGTCAAGTCTGATGAGACTACTTGTGACCACAGAGCAACTATGTAAATATTTATAGAATTTATAATCAACTTTCAGAATTCTGCACATCTGCAAGTGCAGATGTTACATATTATTGCCTCACAAAGTGTTACTTTTGCCAGAGAAACGTGAAACAAAAACTAAAGAAATCAAGTGGATCAGCTTGTAACAGCCTCACAATAAGGCTGCATATAAGTAACTGGCTCAGGGGAAGGCAAAAAAAAAAGCTACATTTCAGCTTCAGCATACTGCCATTTTCTCACGAGTTAGCAGCCTTTACCATAAGGAGCACATTTCAATAGAAGGACTGGGAACTGCTGAAATCTAATGATGCTACAGGAATCCAAGGCTCAAAAGAAACCATAAGCATTTTACAGTAAATTAGATATAATTGACAATAAAGATGAGAAGGCAAAGGAAGACTAACAAACTTGCTTTATTCCTTCCTGACTTTGTGATAGAGATCCAAATATTTTCTTTTGTGATATTTTATTTGAATAAAGCATTGGTATTAGTAAAAAAAGAATACTACTCCTCAGCGGATTCTTTTATACCAGGAAACATCATGGGGATTTTTTTTCCTGTTTGTGAAAGTTTCTATAGTTTAAAGGTAAGCATATGAATAAAAGCAAGGGTCTCAAGTAATACTGTAAGCAAACATTT